GTGCCACTTTGATTGTAAAACAAAATGTTGGCAATTAATTGTCAAATATGACTTCAACGAGTCAATAACGCAGAGTCTTAGGGTCAATGGATGACAAGGCTGTAATCTGTTAAGTGATTACTGAGAAAAATGTAAATTGGTGCTCTCGCGGTATCGTAGCGAAAAGCGGACCCTCACATGTGGTGGCGGGTGTTGTATGGAATGAGGTAATGCCATTATTCTCCGTTGTTATTGTAAACAATTTTAATGAATGAAAATGGGATTGAATTTAATCAAATAAAATGTGTTTTCTGACATCATACATTCTCGGATGGCGGTGTATACCCGCGCAATTACGCGGTGTGTTGCATCATAGCAAGCGTTGTAAGTACTTCGGCTGATAATCATGTCTTTATGATACAGTTATTATGATGTTTAAGCTGTTCATCAATTATTATTGAAAAAGGCGCGCTGCATGTTTTAAAGGTCACATGCAACCAAAAATCAAACATAATTAAAACACAATTATCACTTATTCATGACATATAATATACATTTGCTGGATTACGAAAAAATATATAAACAAAATTATAAGTACATGTCGCCAAATCGAAAAGGTGCAAAATTGTTGTACTTCAGTTTACTTCCCAAAGAAGCGAAGCAGCGGGATACCGAACCCAGTCAGAAGCGGGTGGGTGTGCACTCAAGTGTAACGGCTGCTTCATTTGCAGATGCCTTCACGGCTAATTGTGTGTATATAGAGAGAGAGCGTTGGGTTTTGTAAATACATGCTCATTTTTTGTGTATAACATTTTGCAATCAACAGACATCAACATGTCATGTGTTCAAGTATCACACCTGCCTGTCTGTGTAATTACATAATGTGACAGAGACGAACTTCGGGCCATAAATCAATGCATTTTGTTTATGGTGTATAGCCTGATTGGTGTTAAGTTCAAATTGCATGTGGTCAGTGATAGCAGCTGTGTATTGAATATTGTCATTAGCAGACAGGCAGGCAGACACACAGGTGTCAATAAAACAAGACATTGAGTTTTTGTCTGTGACAACGACATATCTATATCACAGTTAGAAATTCTGTCAACGCTAAATAATGACATTGCTTTTAAGTATCAAACTGAGAAAGTGTCATAAGAAGAACGTGGTGGTGAAATAGACAAATGAAATTATATAAACAGTTAATTTACTGTCATAACATATAAAAGCTCATGCCTGTGAGAGATCAACAAAACATTAGAAAAATAGCTCACACCAAAGACTTCACGGAAGTATTCACCCGACAACCCGGCTTCCAAGCTGCGCATGAACCTATTTACTTAGCACTTGCTATGAGCGCAGCCCAGCTGTTGAAACCCGTTTTCCCCAGAAATGTCTGGGGAAAATCAGTGAAACGTTTGAACTCGATTTCACAGCCTTTTTCATTGCGTTATTTTTCAACTTTATAAGTTGAATTTGCTTTTGATACATTTGTTTCATATGTCCAGACAAAGGTATCAGAATCTGCAAAGTTGTGTTTTACGCTAGTATTTATCTTCTGACTACATGTCATAACATCTATTTTCATATCTTTTCTTGTCATGATACTGTTTCATATATCTATGTATATTGGAACGGTCTTCATATAAGTTCTTTTGAGCTTGTTGACCAATCCAGTTCATGATTTTATATATTTTTTTCATGAAATAAATATGTTTAATCCACATCATCATTAGTTTCGAAAAGGTCATGGAAGTCATCGACAGAAATACTATGGCAGAGTTACCAGAGTATATGAATGTGTTTCTGTTGTACGTTATGCGGCAATACATGGAAAACATACATCACAGGTAGTTTATACATTTTATGTTTGCTGTAGGCAATGCATCAGTTCCCAATTGAGTAGATCGATGCTCATGATGTTGATCACTGGATTGTCTGGTCCGGACTTGATTATTTACAGACCCCACCATATAACTGGAATATTGCTGAATGCAGCGTTAAGCAACAAACCAACCAACCAACCATGTGAAGATTGACACTTATAGTGAAATGTGCGTTAGCCTGTGTTTATCTGTTCTGTTGACTCACGACTTATGACTTCGTCAGCTTGCTACTTCCAACAGTCCTGTCAAACACAAACCTGTAAGTAAGCCTGAGAGAGCCAGATATTGAGGTCTTATGTACTCTGTCAACATGCCACGGTTGTGAGGACAGATTAGGACAAGACCATTTGATCATCTTCTATTTATGAATTCTACCTACTGGTCCAACTATAGAAAATGACAGGGGCGGTGGGGTAGCCCAGAGGTTGAAGCGTTTGCTCATCACGTAGAAGACCAAGGTTTGATTCCCCACATGGGTACAATGTGTGAAGCTCATTTCTGGTGTCCCTCGCAGTCATATTGCTGCAAAAGCACTCACTCACGCACGCACGCACGCGCGCACGCACGCACGCGCGCACGCACGCGACGACGCACGCACGCGCGCACGCACGCACGCACGCACTCACTCACTGACAGTTCTAATTCATTTTTGTTGGCCTGATCACTCTGTGCTACTTAAAAGATCTACAATTTAGTGTGTACATCCAACACAATAGGTTGTAAATAGTAAACATTTTGAACAGAAATAATGCTAATTTGGTTTTGCTTATCTGAGAGACACAACTTCATGTCAATTAAGATATGAAAAATTAACCTTCAAAAATGAATGGTTATTTTAACCTATCAAAAATTATTTGAACCAGAATCTCCGTAAATATTGTGGCCTAAATATGATTGCCTGCCTCCTGCAGCTATTGGATGGGAATGTATTGACCTTGGAAGGGAACACAAACCCTGGCGATTATATTTAAGACTTATTTGTCTGTGTACATCCAGCAACAAAGTTATGTTTTGACACTACTGACACAGTCCTGTCACCAGGGCAGAAAAGGTATTCATTATTAGTGTAGACATTTACACAGACAACATATGCTAGACAATAAGCCCTTCATGGCATGTTTTACTTTATTACCCACGTGGTCAACGTATGGGTAGTTGCATACTAATCTCGTACGTTACACGAGTGTCGTATCGTGTTGACCTGTGTCGTAACGACTTGACCTGAGATTCTAATGATTTGATTGGATAACCGATGACCTCTCAATTAGGTCACATTCTGACGCAATGTTTCCACCAGTGATGTTAGCCGAATGAAGCAACTGCAAACCAAGAAACGGGGTGCTACGGAGTAGTTTACTGTAGGAGGCTGTACGAGGCGATGACAACTGACATGCATCGTGACGTTGGTTACTAAGGCAGTGACGTCATTACAGTGTGACGTCATGCAAATATTGTACTACAGTGCAAAACTCTTCCGCAACCTCTTTATGAAACCGGTTTCGGTTTGAAACCATAAAAATATCAAAAATACGCTATTTTGTCAATTTAATGCATGTAAGACGTGGGTAATAAATATAATACCACACTCGGTCTCATTACATACGAATTATACAAAACTCGTGACCTTCCTATGGCTTTCGCTCGGTCAGATACCATAGGAAGGACACTCGTTTCGTATAATTGTAATGAGACCTCGTGTAGTATTCTCTATGTGTCAGTCTCAAAGGGAGACTACTCCAAGATCTTGTGCCCTTGTCCTACGTTCCATAAATTGACATAAATGCTATCAGTAAACTTAGAAATTGTCTCTGTTTAATTACAGTTATATTTAAGTTAATTGATAATTTAACTTTGAATCAGCAGACAAACAAAGTCACGTAGTAAATTCAATCCAGTTAGCTGTAACTGCTGGTTAGCTGAGCCTCATCCCTGCATCAACTTTGAATGGGAGATCTCTTTAAATCAGTTTCATGTTGGGTGCCACGACATATATAAGTGCCTATGTCCCTTGATAGACTGTTTAGCCCTGATTTGACTAAATATTTTATTGAAATTGCAATATTTGTTGGCAGATAAAGATGCATGTTGTGTAAAAATCTGTAATGAAGTGCATTTAGCAGGGGGGGAATATTTCATCTGTTGTAGAAATTTCAGAAAAATTAATGCAATTCACCAATGATATTTTGCTGCATTCACATTTGTTTTATTTGTCATAATTGACATAAATCAATCTGTGCTCACTGCAGATATTATGCCTACAATAGTTAGAGAACATTAGTCAATAAATCAATCTGTGCTCACTGCAGATATTATGCCTACAATAGTTAGAGAACATTAGTCAATGAGTTAAACAAAACATAATTAAGCTCAATTAACAGTACACATACAGCACCATTTTCAGATAATAGGAGAGCATAAAATATTCTAAAAAAAGTTATTTTGTTTTGCAGCAGCCATACTTTTTCTCACAAAAATCTGTAGACAAAGTAATGAAAGTGATCTGCCCCAAGGCCATGAGAGCTTGTTACTATGCAATCATGTGCATTCAAAACTTTCATCCTCAAATAGAATGTGTACGTCATAGTGTCTCTTCTGAAAAGATGTTTTGTGTGCATGACTACTAATTATAATCAGTTGTGACATAAACATATCTACTAGGGCTGCAAGAATTCACCCAGACCTCGATTCATTTCGATTTTCGATATTGGACCTTCGTTTCTATCATGTTCAATTTGATTCTTCATACAAGTAAAACATCAGATTTTATTTAACTCTCAGAGTTGGCTTTTTTAGAGTGAAATTCATTGGAGTTGGAGTCAAAATTACATTCTGGCTATGCGGAAATAGTTTTAATAGGTATTCAAATATTGAATCGAAAATCGAAACTAAGGTGTCAGTTTTGATTTTTTGATGAATCAAACTGAATCATTGCAGCTGTAATATCTTCCTAATGCAATGAAAATATTTAGCAAAGAACCGTAGTTGAAATCTATTTTAGGATAAACATTAGTTGAAAACTATTGGAGGATGAACTTTTGTTGAAAACTGTAAGACTTCTGTTCAGAATTGAACGTGTGAGACTTCTGTTCAGAATTGACGTGTATGACCTAACTAACAATCATGTGACTTTGTTTACAGGCGTAGGAAGGCAGGATGGATGGCACCGACGCTGATGGGGAGTGGAGTGACGACGATGGAGTCAAGTCAGGATCTGTTACAGGTACAGCTTCACTTCCTAGCCTCTAACACTGTTCCTTGTACAGGTGATAATTAAATTGTCAGAGGGTGTCAGTGACATTAAGCTTTTGTATCAGAGACTGTTTGCTTTAGCCAGGGAGAATGTTTGTTATATTGTTATATTCTTTTGGAGTGGGGACCCTGGTACTTTTGATAGAGACAGGGCCTAGATTTTCGAAGCTCTCTTAGCGCTAAGATAGTTGTAAGTTAATGTTAATATATGGCACTTACTACTATCTTAGCGCTAAGAGAACTCCGACAATCAAGGCCCAGGATTCTATTTCAAAATGTGGTTTCAATAAGTGACAACTAAGACCTAACTAAGACCCTGAGCCAACCAATCCTTGATTTTTCCCCTAGTTCTCAGTGCCAGCAGGGTAATAATTGGCACTTCCTTTTGAAGTCTGTTGGTATGATCTCGGGGCAACTGCTATATCTATCAACTTTACACAGTCTGAATTTCCCAGAGGAATATTGTTGAGCATAGGTCATCTATATCTTGTGTGTGTTTGGGTGAATATGTTGATTGGCTAGCTGCAATGATTATGGACAAAAATGATCATCTGGGAAGAGCATCTGTCAATGTTGTGACCTTGCTCAGTTGGTATGTCATGAAGATTTGGGCTAGAGTTGACCTTCACCAACCCATGCTTGTTGTTGGAGGCGACTAACAGGATCGGGTGGTCAGGCTCGCTGACTTGGTTGACACGTCATCGTATCCTGATTGCATAGATTTATTCTCATGGTGTCAGTCATTGGATTGTCAGGACCAGAGTTTTTACAGACCACCTTCGTGTAGCTAGAATATTGCTGAGTGGGTTGTTAAACAACAAACAAACAAACTGGTATGTCGTGCATCATGTTGATCAATGCTGCTCACACTCTTAACCATTGGTTTCTTCAGATGCAGTCACTGTTGAAATGAATTGATCTTTCAGTGGTTGAGATGGGAGTGACACATGAAAAAATAATTCCAGGAATGTTCATCATCAAGTTTCTCATATCTGAACATGTCTCCCGAAATCTAGGAATCTGTTTCAGCTCTATCGGATAATGAACCAGATGATATACCTACATCACTGAAGATCACCACGATGATCACAGCCTCACCAGGCAACCACAAGATAGACCCTGTACATGCGATCCTGGACAAGATAGATGCTGAGCTGGGAGCTATCGCTACTGCCAATAACATCACTGTAAGTCACTGTAGACACCTATGTATTCGACCCATGAAGGTCACGGTTAGAATTGGTCTTCAGTAACCCATGCTTGTCGTAAGAGACAACTAATGGGATCGAGTGGTCAGGCTCGCTCACTTGGTTCACGCATGTCATCATATCTCATTTGCATGGAATGATGCTCATGCTGTTGATCACTTGATTATTTACAGACCACCATCTTATAGCTGGAATATTGCTGTGTGCGACTTTAAACCAGAAACAAACACTTATGTAGTCAACAATTTCAATACTCTGAGTCCAGTCACAGGCTAATATTGGGCTCCAATGTGCATCAAATTTCAGAAAAATAATCTCCAAATTGGAATCAGGCTTTCTTGATTGTGTATTTGATTGGACATTATAGGAACATATTACTACATATTACACCTTAAATTAACATCCAGGAAGACTATACAGTCGAACACCGTTGTGTCGAACTCTGATAACTCGATATCTCGGTTTTCTCGATATAATTTCTCGTTCACGGCAAAACCTTCATTATTTATCATTATTTGAACCCTTTTAACTCGATACGAATGTCTCGATATTTCTGATATCTCGATATGATTTCATGGTCCCGATAAGTAAAATTACCCTTTAACTTGATATTTGCACGTAAAGTTGATATATACCTACCTTTCTCGGACAAGTATCCATCTGAACTGTGACTGTCTCCACGTGTTTACACACACGCTGCGGCATGAATCAAAGGTAGCGGTAGTGTAAGCTAATTAAGGCTAATTGAGTTGTAGGTGTCACTTGTTTGTTTATCTAACTAGGATGTATTCCCAATTTCAGCTTAACACTCCTGATAACGGATTATAGTATCGAATCAAAGCATAGTGAGAATCTAATATGGGACTTGTGTCATCACGTGACAAGCAATTCATGGTTGAGTTGTTACTAAATTGCCGAATGAGAAATGTGGATTAGGAGTCAATTGAACGCTATTGTGTTGTGGGGCTATAAAATGTTACCAAATGGTAGGTTTGTCTTGTTATGTATCAAGAGTGGTTGACCAGTATTGCGTTCATGCCAGCACCAAATGCCCGTCAGTTAAAACTTTCTGATTTTTTCACTTCGTTTGTGGAGTAAATCCAACTTTTGTATATTTCAAAATGGACACTATGACGAGATTACCATGTGTATTTGCGATCTCTGTAAGGACAAATAAATAATAGACATGCAATCTACTTTTTTCTTTTGTTTTCTTTCATTTCGTTCAAGTTTGTATGTGATGATATGCCGATATGTCGATATTCGGATAAGTCAATATTTTTTCCTGGTCCCGTAAATATCGAGACAACAGTGTTCGACTGTACTTACATTAATGTATATGATACCTCCACCTACATGGATGCAGTGTGTGAAATAGCTTCCAAATTTTGCTAGCTAGTTTGGCTGACTATGCCTGAAAGTTAATAGCCCACAAAATAATTCACTAGCCCTAACTTTGAATGTAGACATGGGTTTCATTATTAAGCTGCTAATATGATGAACATTTTATCATAGTTTTGCACGATTTAAAACTGTATTATAAATTGATAAGATGGAGAGAGATATATTTACAAAATGGCCCCTTGAAAATTCACCAGCCAGTCGGGCCAGTGACTTTGAAGATTTACTGGCCTGACTGGATTTTTACTAGGCAAAGGCTAGCAGGCCAGTGGCTATTTCGCACACTTCATGGATGATACTTGCATCTACACAGGTAATACTACATGAAATTATATTAATTCTACATATGTCCTTACATGATAATAAACCTTGATCGCACAAAGATATCTTGAGAGAATATGAAGCTGAAATATATTTCCTTTAATGATTATATCTGTTTCATCACAATATTTTATCGCAAAGCATCAAGTTCACGCTATCAGTTGTTAAACAAACTTTTTTGTGATGCATTCTTGATAAATCAAGATTACTTTATGGATTAAAGATTTGTTACAAGGACCAGTATATGACCTGATTGCCAGTAACAGCCAATAATTGATATGAGTATTGATAAAGCAATTTATCTTAATTATCAGCTGACACGTCAACCATGATCAGAACCAAACATTGTGCACAGCAGGGTCAAGACTCTTATATCCCGTATCTCATCAGCTGCAATGAAATCTCACTGATTGATAATCAATATCTTCCGATAACAGATTGTATCCATATTTTAATCAGTGTATGTTACCTTCACAGACCTTCAGTCAACCACAAAGTGTAAAAAATCAACGTTTCCTATTTTTGACCGAAACCGGCTTGAGGCTCAGGGCGTGGTGTTTGACACCGCTGATGATCGCCGCGACAAGCAGGGTGAGTCGGGTGTCTAGACTGCATCAACCTTCCATACCATTCCTCCTGTAGGGATTCCATGTTAGAATATGTCCCCATCAACCTTCCATACCATCCTTCCTGTAGGGATTCCTTGGTCAGAATATGTCCCCATCAACCTTCCATACCATCCTTCCTGTAGGGATTCCTTGGTCAGAATATGTCCCCATCAACCTTCCATACCATTCCTCCTGTAGGGATTCCTTGGTTAGAATATGTCCCCATCAACCTTCCATACCATTCCTCCTGTAGGGATTCCTTGGTCAGAATATGTCCCCATCAACCTTCCATACCACCCTTCCTGTAGAGATTCCAGGTTAGAATATGTCCCCACCAACCTTCCATACCATCCTTAGTGTAGAGATTCCAGGTTAGAATATGTCCCCACCAACCTTCCATACCATCCTTCCTGGAGAGATTCCAGGTTAGAATATGTCCCCATCAACCTTCCATACTCCTGTAGAGATTCCAGGTTAGAATATGTCCCCACCAACTTTCAATACCACCTTTCCTGTAGAGATTCCAGGTTAGAATATGTCCCCATCAACCTTCCATACCATCCTTCCTGTAGAGATTCCAGGTTAGAATATGTCCCCACCAACTTTTCTTACCATCCTTCCTGTAGAGATTCCAGGTTAGAATATGTCCTCACCAACCTTCCATACCATCCTTCCTGTAGAGATTCCAGGTTAGAATATGTCCCCACCAACTTTCCATAGCATCCTGTATGGATTCTGAGCTAGAACTTGTCCCCACCAACCTTCCATAGCATCTTCTATGGATTCCAGGGTAGAATATGTCCCCACCAACCTTCCATAGCATCCTCTATGGATTCTGAGCTAGAATATGTCCCCAGCAATCTTCAATAGCATCCTCTATGGATTCTGAGCTAGAATATGTCCCCACCAACCTTCCATAGCATCCTCTATGGATTCCAGGCTAGAATATGTCCCCACCAACCTTCCATAGTATCCTCTATGGATTCTGAGCTAGAATATGTCCCCACCAACCTTCCATAGTATCCTCTATGGATTCTGAGCTAGAATATGTCCCCAGCAATCTTCAATAGCATCCTCTATGGATTCTGAGATAGAATATGTCCCCACCAACCTTCCATAGCATCCTCTATGGATTCTGAGATAGAATATGTCCCCACCAACCTTCCATAGCATCCTCTATGGATTCTGAGATAGAATATGTCCCCACCAATCTTCCATAGCATCCTCTATGAATTCTGAGCTAGAACATGTCCCCTTTTGGCTTGCTGTAAGAGGTGGCTGAATGGATAAGGTGTTCCTGTTATTACAATGCATAAGGGCCCAGCCTCAAGAAAATCAGATCTTAGTTGTGACTACTGCTGAACAAAGATATTATTTTGATGAGCTTGAAGTAGAATGTGAATATAGTTCACCTTTTTTTTCTCATCCCAGTTTTAGGTCACACCCACGGAGGTAGTTCCGACCGGGATACTGGTGTCGGAACAGGAAGTGTACAAGACGATGCTGGCTCGGAACACAAGAGGATTATGGGTAGTGCTCAGATATACAGCGATGTGGGGAACCTGACTGATGTCCATACAGATGGTAGGAGAGGAACTCAGCCCACAGCGCCACTTGAAGGTGCATGGCCAGCATATCGCTCAGCTTCCAGTCTTAGTGTAGAGCTCTAGCATACTAGTAGTTCACACTTGTAGATTAGTTCAAGGATTCATGTAGATCTGATCAGGGGTTGATAGTCAACCCCAACTCAACCCCCAGGTCAACCTCAAGTCAAACCTAGGTCAAATTTGCATAGTTCAAACTTGTAGATTAGTTAAAGATTCATGTAGATCTGCTCAGGGGTTAACTTGTTTGAGTGGCATTTAGAAGTTGGTGTGATGAACAACGAGGAGAGTTCTATGGATATACAACTTCTTTAAATTTATATAATGTGATATGACAGACAGGAGAATAATGGGATTAAGATTGCTTGGTGATGAGTTGGTTGTAGGCAGTGGGGATGTAATATCCTGTCTGTCATATCACTGGCTTCCTCCCAATAATCCCCCATAGATTACTCTGTTTGTGTAAGAATTGCCTTCTTGTGTTAACTCCTCCAACCTTGTACATCAAGCTCATTAATTGTGCAAACATCACCCACTTACTCAGGGTTTTACGGGATGCATGATTCCTGCGTATCGGACGCAGAAATTTGATGATGTACCCCCAAACGTAAATCATGTGCGTCCATATGAACGCAACATTATTTTCTTCTGGGAAAGAATTTCACCTGATGAAGGTACCTGGAATGGTCTCGAAACGTCGTGAGAGAAATTAAAAAAGAAGTTTAATCCATAAAAAAATATCTTGGACATCAATGTACAACTTCTAAATGCCACTGAAAGACAAGAACTTTATGAATCTGAAATGATATCCCATATTAAAATATAAACATTCTGTTTACAATCATTATTCTAATGACATTGAAACTAACACATATTTTAGCATAATCATTATCAAATGGGAAGCATCCATGCATCCATGCAAATCCATGCAAATTGATGGACTCCCAATTTTTTAAATTGACTCTCAAAAAAAATATGTCCTGAGTCCCCAGGACTCCCAGTTTCGAAGAACTATGTAAAACCCTGTTACTGTTCAACTTTACTATATATATATATATATATATATATACCTTGCCCCTAGTATTGTACATCATTTGCTTGATAACGGTGCTAGTAGCTACATCGCTCATATTATATTAAAGAAGTTGTATATCCATATAACTCTCCTCGTTGTTGATCAGGGGTTGATAGTCAACCCAAACTCAGCCCCCAGATCAACCCCAAGTCAAACCCAGGTCAGATCTGCATAGTTCAAACTCATAGATTAGTTCAGCGATTTAGGTAGATCTGATCAACTCAACCCCCAGGTCAACCCCAAGTCAAAGCCAGGTCAAATTTGCATAGTTCAAACTTGTAGATTAGTTCAGCCATTTAGGTAGATCTGCTCAAAGACTGATAGTCAACCCCAAGTCAACCTCAACTCAACCCTGTCAACCCCAGCTGAACCTCAAATCAACCCCCAGTCAACATCAAAGGCAATGTAAATTTCCAAACATGAATTACAAATTTTCAAATTAATGTTGTCATAATGCCCATCAAGCATCTAATGTCGTCATATTCATAACTAATATTGCTTAACAATGGTGTCTTTCCATCGCTGACAACAGGGCCAATGAGGTACACAAATCCGTCTTAGCACAATGAGTCCTAAGCCTTGGTTTAGGTTCGCCTAATGGTAACAATGCTTTGTGAAACAGGGTCCTGGACCAACTCTGCTAAGTTACCGGTATACATTACTGCATGAAAGGCAATGTTAATATATGTCTAAATAAACATAAATATAGAAATATTTTTAAAAATTATATCTTTAATTTTTGCCATTTTTTAAATCTATTTTGAATTAATTGGAATGCTAGAGGAATCCCTGTGCTTATATTTAGAGATTGATAATCTTTGTCTTTTTCGTCATGACAATCCACTGTCTGTGGTGCTTGTTAAGAAATGTCCTTTGATGAATTCCATGGTGGGTGTGTTACATTTGATCAAGGTCATGGCCATGGACCTTTGAGAGGTGGGAGCGTGTTGCATTGTGATTAATGGAGCTCTAATATTGCTGTTCAAATTTACTAATGAACTGGTTTGTAAAATTATACTAATGTCATCGATTTGTGTCGTCTAATCTCTTGCTATTGTTACCCCAATGACTTAATGGCCCAGTGGTTCAAGTGCTGGTTTGTCATGGACAAGGCTTTGGTTTGATTCCTCATAAGAACACAAAGTCTGTTGCCTTGTCTTGGTGTCACGTGCTGTGGCGTCAGCTAGAACCATATTTAGTTCCACGGAGGTGCAGGGTCATCCTCGATAATCTCCAGGGTATCGTTTGATAAATCTCCACTAGTACCCTGGATGCATCTATGGCCTGATAATTTTATTACCTCCCTTTGCTGGGTCTGCCTTCTCACAGTAGCCAATCAGATAAGCTATTACAACCAAGCTTGCCAGTGTCAACAATGATAGCGGCCGCAACCATGAAGGTTTGCTCGCTGTGGGAGTCCGATTTAGGGGAAATTTCATACAGACAAATTGACAGGTCTGAAACTTTCAAAACATATATGCAAGAACTCCGTCTACCTCTTTCAGAGTACCTCTGCAACAATCGTGTTGCCAAGTTTAAGTGGTTAGAAAGTGAGTTTTGATGAAGCCTTGTGATTGGTATGCTCAGCTTTCCAGCGTAGATGCCTGGTTCGATAAATAGACAGCAAAGGGAGGTAATAAAATGATTAGTGAGTGAGTGAGTGAGTTCAGTTTTACGCCGCACTCAGCAATATTCCAGCTATATGGCGGCGGTCTGTAAATAATCGAGTCTGGACCAGACAATCCAGTGATGAACAGCATGAGCATCAATCTGCGCAATTGGGAACTGATGACATGTGTCAACCAAGCCAGCGAGCCTGACCACCCGATCCCGTTAGTTAAGCCTCTTCGACGACAAGCATGGCTTTCTACTGAAGGCTCATTCTACTGAACTCATTCTAACGGACCTTCACGGGTAGACAAGCATGAGTTACTGAAGGCTCATTCTATTCCTAACGGGTAGGACAAGCATGGGTTACGGGTTTAATTCTAACTCGGAAGAAGAAACGTCAGAAACCAAAATGAAAAAAGGTGAAGCAGATGATAAATGAGTGTAGATAATTGTAGGTATGACTAAGCTGATAGCAAGGAGTATAAATTGATAATGGTTTGGAATTAAGAAGATGGGGTCGGGGTATGGGGAAGGAAGGACTTGGGGGCAAAAAAGAAGTGAGATGGTTATCTTAGCCATTATGTGTGTAGAAGGAGTAGGGTATAGCTTATGAATTTGGTAGTACAGTTAAGTTGCAGCTGATAAAAATACAGGGTCCTAATAACCAAATTAAATTGGGTTACACTTTAACTGTAAGCATAAACGTTGACCTATGGGGCTTAAAGAGTCGAGGTAGGACAGCTGGCGAGTTTGAGCACAGACAATCACTTTGGACTTATGGGTGGTCTCTGTTTTGTCATCATGTGGACTACTTTATATGCTGATAACGTACGCTGAAGTATACAGGCATGACACTCTCAAACGTCATGATACTTGACAGCCCTGGCAATCACACGACACAAACCAGCAGTGCATGATACAGATTGATACGGGCATGTTGGAGTAGTTACAGATATAATATACAGTTAGAGATAAAATTATGTAATCTGCTTTGAATGTATCTGGACGTCTGTGGTGAGTCTATCAGCAGTGTCTGGTTCGTGCAACTTGATTACTTGCCTGTAAGATAGATAAAAGTACTCGTGAGAGACCTTTATCATCTTTGTTCGCACTTTGTTCCTGTAACAATCGTTAAAATCTTGATAGTGTTCTGACACTCGTCCTCTATCTATTTTTAATATCGCCCCTAAGTTAGTCGAATTAAGTCAAAATGAGTTGAAATTTGTGTCATGATGCTTATAAACATACACTCATTCATTTTACAACCTCCAAAACATACATAAATATTGAGTAAAAGTAAATAATATTCTAGCCAATGGGCCAAAATGTTTTCTCCCATGGGCTTAGATTTTTAAATATCGCTCTAAGTTAGTCAAATTAAGTCAAAATGAGTTGAAATTTGTGTCATGATGCTTATAAACATACACTCATTCATTTACAACCTCAAAACATACATAAATATTGAGTAAAAGTAAATATTCTCGCCAATGGGCCAAAATGTTTTCTCCCATGGGCTTAGATTTTTAAATATCGCTCTAAGTTAGTCAAATTAAGTCAAAATGAGTTGAAATTTGTGTCATGATGCTTATAAACATACACTTATTCATTTACAACCTCCAAACATGAATTCTGATCAAAATTAAACATTCTCACCCATGGGCCACTGTTCGCCCATGGGCCTGCCCATGGGCGAGCTAGTTTAAATTTCCAGTTTTCGAAAAAAAAAATTTTCATGTTTTCATCCTTGGCATATATTCATAACAACTGCATGTTTCATTTGGTCAAATCTCTTGTCAGGAAGTGCCCACAGTGCGGAGAGTTTCTGGACTTTTGTGAGTCCAGAATTAAATTGTGACGTGTTAATTAATGTTGTCATAATGCCCATCAAGCATCTAATGTCGTCATAGTCATAACTAATATTGCTGACAACAGGGCCAATGAGGTACACAAATCCGTCTTAGCACAATGAGTCCTAAGCCTTGGTTTAGGTTCGCCTAATGGTAACAATGCTTTGTGAAACAGGGTCCTGGACCAACTCTGCTAAGTTACCGGTATACATTACTGCATGAAAGGCAATGTTAAAATATGTCTAAATAAACATAAATATAGAAATATTTTTAAAAATTATATCTTTAATTTTTGCCATTTTTTAAATCTATTTTGAATTTTTTGGGGGGAATGCTAGATGAATCCCTGTGCTTATATTTAGAGATTGATAATCTTTGTCTTTTTCGTCATGACAATCCCCTGTCTGTGGTGCTTGTTAAGAAATGTCCTTTGATGAATTCCATGGTGGGTGTTTTACATTTGATCAAGGTCATGGCCATGGA